ACCACAGACAGCAATTATTTTATCAGTTCTAATTCTGAAACTGTGAAAACTTCTTTTTTACAGACTTAAAAACTTCTAAAGACGAGGGGAAAATATTGATACATTAAAATATCCCAATATCTTCATATGCTGATATATTGCCATTTAAAAACACCATATCAATCTCTTTTACTAATGAAATATTGCTATATGTCATCGTTATGCTACGAAAATTCACCAAATGTTGCCATATTTTTATATGTTGATCAGGGGCGGATCTAGAAAAATATTTATGGGGTGGCAAGAGGGGGGCAGGAATTTTTTAGGGGTGGCAACATATGGCATTTGTTTACACTGAATTTAATCACAGTTATCACAGTTTGGTGAGAATAGTATGTACAGTACTAGTGTTTCATGTGAAACAGTTCATATTAATAATACATCGTACATTGTGATCTCACTTAATAGGAGATAGAAGAATGATTACACTACTTCTAGAGGGGCCTTATGACAGGAAAGGTATTAAGGTAAGACACAGGTGCTGAGTAGTAGATGTGTGAGATTGACTGTCAGAGAGGCAGCTTTGCAGCATTTGCACAAGAAGAAACGATAGAAAGAAAAACTTACCTATCAGAGATCTATGGACTGAGCTGTTCCAAAATTGAGCAGAACTACACAGTAGAGATAAATGGGTCAAGGCACCCGAACAAGGTACTGGACATCTATGTAATGTTTACTCTGAACACACATTTACCCCATTTGTTCCTCAGTAACTTGACATACAGCAGTTAAGGCAACATGAAAGGGACATTTCATGCATGTAAATATGCTGTAGATAGAGCTGCATATGGAGGACCAACTCTGCCATATTTAAAAATAAATACAGAAATAAATAAATGCTCAATAAATAAATAAGCATACAATTAATTGCCACCAAAAATACAATCAACAAATAAATGTAATTAGAAATTATATTATAATGGCAGGCAGAAATGTAAAGAGGGCAGGCAGAAAGAAATAGCAGCGAAGAAATAACTAGGGTAAAAAAATACAAAGGAAGAATAAAACAGACAAAAATATGATAACATGCACATAAATAAATACTTAAAAATATAAGTAATTAAAAAATGAAGTTGAAGATAATAAATGACAAAAAAATAAATAAGGTAAATATTAAAAAGGCAAAGAAATAAAGAAGCCAATTAAAAGAGTTATATACCTTTATGACTAGCTGTATAATTTAATTTCTACTTACATTTATTTGTTGTTTGTATTTTTGGTGGCAATTAATTGTATGCTTATTTATTTATTAAGCATTTATTTATTTCTGTATTTATTTTTAAATATGGCAGAGTTGGTCCTCCATACTGCTGTATCAACAAAAAGGCGGGTTCTGTATGTTACATCAAAATCTCCACAAATCTGAAAAGAAGCAACATAAAAATACATTTTGCTTGTGAGTAGGTTCATACGGGTCATTTCTGGATAGTTTCATATTATATATACAAAAAAAGAAACAACAACACTGCTTCATATTAAGCAGGATTTACACCAGTATCAAATTTTTAACTTTACTTTTAACACTTTTGGTTTTATTAAAGGAAATATCAGATTTTCTCACGTGGCAAAACAAAATGTAACAGCTCTGTAAAGGCTCACCAGAGAGAATAACATAAAGTTGACATGACTATAACAGCTGAATGCGGCGATTTCCATGTTACTCAGCAAAACGCTTCACAAATTTATTTAGATCCAATGCCTTTGTGCGTTTTGATTCAATGCTGAGTACAACCAAACTTGATAGTTTATTTTCTGTCATAGTTGACCACAAATATGTCTTTATGAGTCTGAGACGTCAGGCCTAACTAACATCATAGTTGGAGAAAAAACGTCCTGCAACCTGATTTTTATTCCCTCAAAATCAGCATTGCAGCTATGCTAGCAACATTGTGCTTTCATTATGATTTAATTTCTCGATAGATAGTTAATCGGTTTTTACCTGTTTCATCCCGTGTCTCCTCTCCCCATGACCCCTGGCTCCCTCGCTTTGCCCCGCTCGGTTTTCAAAACAATCAGTCTCAGTCGCTCTCTGTCATCTCGTGCTGCATTCACTGCAGTCCGACATTGGAAATTAGCGGTCGTAATTCTCAAATGATCCATAATTTATAAGCCTCGCCACCCCTACCGCCAACTGGGGTGGCAGCTGGGGTGGCAAGGCTGTCATTTAGGGTGGCATTTGCCACCCTATGCCACCCCAGTAGATCCGCCTATGATGTTGATATATTGACGCGGTATCGATCAATTTTACTAACAAAATCTCACAAGAATTTGCAAAATATCACGAGAGTTTGTAACAGAACGATGAAATTTCACGAGATTTTGAAAGTAAAATAGATCGATACCGCGTTTTTAAAAATCACTTTGATATCAGCATATGAAAATATATTTGAGTATATTATTTTTCAAAGTGTCAGAAATGGATAACAAAATTGCTAGAAATTGTAATTTTGCAACTTGTTAAATGTAAAATCTCTCTCTCTCTCTCTCTCTCTCTCTATATATATATATATATATATTTATATATATACTTTTGTCCAGCTTTAACATCGATATCGGTTACATGAGTTTTAAAATATCGGCATATCGGATATCGGCCAAAATCCCAATATCGTGCATCCCTACCCTAAACCCCTGTGAAAGGATGTTTGACAAACTACTGTTCATCCAACTTAACAGACCAAGATATTTCTAGCTGCATAAGCAGGCAGCAAGTTACCAGAAGAAAAGACTAGTGATCATGACATTTCTAGAAACAAAGTGAACCAATCGAGGAGGTTTTAAAACCCTGTGGGCGAGCCAGAGCCCCTGGAGAGAACCCACAGATGCACAGTCACAGCACGCCAACATCACAGAGAAACACAGCAGGTGAGCTTTGGACCCTGCAGTGCAGTGATGCAGCCGTGTTAATAACTATGCACAAGCTTTTTTAAAGAATAAACTAGTGTGATTTACTCACACACATCCCAACAAAGTGGGCTTATACGTACAAAATTCCCCATCCCCCAATCATGTGTTTTTAAATATTATGCTGTAATATCTTAACACTTCACTGGAACTGAGCTTTCCTGCCACCGTCTCCACAGATTGTTCCTCTGAATCTGCTTCAGAGATGGTCCTCAATTCTGGGTCAGAAAAGGTTTGACATTCAGATTTGGACGTCCTCAACTCTGGATCAGTGGAGGATTCAAATTCAGATTTGGACGTCCTCAACTCTGGATCAGTGGAGGATTCCCATTCAGGTTGGGACAGCTCTGAAACCTCTTCCATTTCTGACTCACTGTCTTGTGAGTCGGTTTGCTCGTATGTCTCCCTTGCCCTAGACAGAAAGTTGTTCATGTCTTTATGAGCCTGAGACGTCAGGCCCAACTAACATCATAGTTAGAGAAATAACGTTCTGCAACCTGATTTTTATCATCTCAAAATCAGCATTGCAGCTATGCTAGCAACATTGTGCTTTCATTATGATTTAATTTCTCGATAGATAGTTAATCAGTTTTTACCTGTTTCATCCCGTGTCTCCTCTCCCCATGACCCCTGGCTCCCTCGCTTTGCCCCGCTCGGTTTTCAAAACAATCAGTCTCAGTCGCTCTCTGTCATCTCGTGCTGCATTCACTGCAGTCCGACATTGGAAATTAGCGGTCGTAATTCTCAAATGATCCATAATTTATAAGCCTCGCCACCCCTACCGCCAACTGGGGTGGCAGCTGGGGTGGCAAGGCTGTCATTTAGCGTGGCATTTGCCACCCTATGCCACCCCAGTAGATCCGCCTATGCTCCTGGTATTTGCACCTTTATTCTACTCTGTATTCTCATGAGTGTAATCTCTATTAACTTAACAATAAAAATAATAAATAAATAAAAAAGAAAAGTATTGAGGTATTCATTCTATTCCTGCATTTTGTGTCAACTGTCACGGTTGCTAAACGACAGTGCGTATGGGCGGAGAAAGCTGCCAAAGGCTAGACCTGTTTGAATTCACAGCCAAAACTCTTCCAGTCACCTTATTTTCACTGACTTCGAAGGACCCTGTGCAGGTAGACCGGGTCCTTGGAAGACGCAGCCCATAAATTCGGACGCACCCATAGAGTCTTGATCGGGACATCCCTTATAAAAGCTTTATATTTACAGTTTTAGAGCAGGTGCTCACAGACAGTGTTACTAGGGTTGTCAAAAGTATCGATACTCAAAAAAGTATCGATACTGAAAAGTTGTATCTGGATACAACACTCGTTTTTAAAAGTACAGTGCCACCACCAGTGGCACCTAAGCAGTCATTCATCTAAAGTGCAGAATCGAGGACAATGCACTTTCAGAACACTGTGTGGTTGAATAATTCTGTGCACTTTTCAGTTTCACACTTTTTTTTTTTTCTAAGAGATGCAGCTGCTGAAAATTATTTTTGTTTCTTAACCGGTTTGGCTAGTGTCATTGTTATGTGTGCAAAGCATAGCCAAGGAAGGAACACTTAATTTTAATTTTATAAGTTTTTTTATCAAGCTTGCTTAATATTGTGCAAAAAATACAACCTTTATTGTATTTTTTTATTGTATTTTATTTATCAATGAAAATATTTCTGTAGAATTTTTGAGTCTTTGTTTTTGTCCTTGTGGTATCGAAAATGGTATCGAGTATCGAATATTTTCCTGAGTATCGGTATCGAGTTGAAAAGTTTAGTATTGCGACAACCCTAAGTGTTACAGTTACAAGCGTGGCCTTTGCTTTGAATATCCATAACCAATAACCAATCTGGATATGAAGGCTAGAAAAAAAATATTCAATACCTGTTCTCATATCTCCTTTATACCATAATGCAAAACTCAATCCACACAAAAGAAAGAAAAAAAAAAGAAAGAAAGGGGTTGAGAATCAAACAAGGTTCTGCTTCTAGGAAGAAGATATAATATATCCGCTACTGTGCTGTGACACTGGTTATCCCTCCAAAAAAAGAGTATAAAGGTTACCTGTAGGTGTGATGCTGCGGAAGGAAGAGGAAGGGGTGATGGGTGGGGTGACTGGAGGGGTGAGGTTTCCACTGGTGTGGCGGGGCGGAGTGGAAACGTTGCTGCGTGACAGACTGCCTGTTAGGGAGAGTTTGGGCTGTAGTTTTTTCTTCAGGGCCTCATGTTCTCGCCTTGCGGCATCAGTCATGAACCTAAAGTAGATGAAAAAACTACTGTAACAAACTTTTATAAAAAAAAGAAGGTAAATTCACACTTTCTTCACTAATTAAATTTGTGCCCTGCAGTTGTAGAATGCATGGTTGGAAAAAACACCACTAACCACATTTAAATAAAAACTAAACAGGTTTATAGAAGCAGTAAAATGTTTTTGTAAATTGGTATAATAAGACTGAAGCATTTACACAGACACTGGTGAAAGAAAAGTGGAGTTGACAAATTAAGCGACGGCCACATGAAGATCCGTTTGTGAAAGCAGGGAGACAGTGGGACACTGTGTCGCACACAGACGTACAGGAAGGCCTATAAAAGCTTTGTTAGAGCCGCATATCAAAGCCAGCTGGGATGATCTCAGAGCATTAAAACAAAAACACAACACCACAGAAATTAATCTAAGCAATCCACCAGATGACAAACCAAACCGTCAGCAACACTTACTGAGTCTCCCACAAAACCACAGTAGCAGGCCATTATTTAAGTGAAGAACAGAAACTGATCATATTAATCTGAGATTTAATCAGATTGCAACAAATTGATGTTGCTGAGTTAAACCCTTTAAAGTGGATAACTTATGTAGTTTTAAAATGTATTAAAATGTTAAAAAATGTCCTTACCTACTGATGTAACTGAGAGCAATATATGTTGGCTGCTGCTGCTCCTGCTTCTCCAAAAGACAGGGGTCTGTATCTAAGGAGGAGAAAAAAAGACACATTGGAACAGGCTGGACTAAATAAAATAAAATAAAATAAAATAAACAGTGCTAATTATTTTGCTTTTCTATTTTACTGACTTGGACATAGAAAATCAAACTTTTCAGTATCTACTGTTTTTCATTTGTCAATATCACTTCAAATCTCCTTGTAAGGCTGACACATAGCATGAAAACCAAGATCATAATTAAATAGGATAAAATCACATTAAGAAACATCAAAAGGTGCACGAAGAAGATCATACATATATTTACACAACAGGCTTCTGTGGTAAAAGTAGTTGTTCCTGATTTCAGTTCAATCTTCCTTACCATATCTCAAGAATAACTATCTTTAAATTGGATCCAGAGATGATTAATGCACAGGTGAGGCTTCTAACTCCAGCATTAACCATTTTATACCACCGTGCCCTGTTATGGATGTTGTTCAGCAAATTTTCCTCAAAGAGGATAAGCTGATAAAGGTCTCTGATAAAGAAGCTGAGTGCTCACCGAGTTCTCTGGCCAATCATTGGAAAGTTGTATAGAGGGAATACATAGAAAAATGAACAAAAGCATAAGGAAAACATACAGAACAGAATTCGAAGAAATGTTCAATCAATGGTCTGAGGCAAAAGACGTGCTGCAAGTGTTGGTCCAACGTGTTTCATAATACCCAAAATGTGGCCGTGGGGAAGGTTTCAGAGCATCTGCCCAAAGAGTCATATGTAATAATACCAGCTGTAATGATATAGCCATGGTATCAGTGTGCTTAAGCAGACTTTCAAAAATAAATCCTAATTTAATATAGAAACTATAGAGATGAGAGACACCAACCCCAAAAACCTGCAGATGAGCTATAGGGCTCCTCAACACCTTAGTCGAGCCACGGACTAATGACCTTCATGCTCTTATGGACTAATGGTGCATTCACACTGACAGTGACAGAGCCAGACCATTTTCATAGGGGTGGCAAGGCAGGGAGTGCACTGCAGGGTGGCCAAAAACTGATAGGCGCCGAAACCAGATAAGGGTTAATCTCCACCAAACACAACGAACCACCATGGACAAATGAATAAGCGATAAATCCAGTTTTTTCATGAAGCCCTGGCTAATAAATATACCAATTTATTCATTTCCCAGCCTTTATTCCAACTTTGGAGGGTCAGCTTTTTGTTAATTCCAACAATGAACTTAGACCAAATAGTTTCTGAACCAAGATACACCCTAGTAAAAGGTCTGAAAACAGTGAGCGTTGCTATTTGTTATGGCATTGACTTCTATTAGTAATCCAAATAACTATGTGGTTGTCTCTTATTAAACACAAACTATCAGAAGCAATTCCTTTATTGTTTGTACCAGCAGTTTTGACTGCATTCTCCATAATATACATTATTACATGTGTGTATACATAATATACATGATCAGAAGTTCTAACAATGATTTTTTACTGAAACTTCTACTACCTCTTGTAACTGCAGACATATTGAATAGAAGGCTGCTTGGTGAGCTCCGATTTTTCCTGTTGGGCTTTTGACTTCAGAGTTTTTTGTTGTACTTCTGGTAGGAACTTGGGAAGTTTGACCGCCAAGTACAGAGAAAATACACCATGTTATCCATGAATGAACATTTAGAAACTAACCTAAACTTGTAAAATTTTTAAACCCCTCTTAGTGAAAATCTTTATATTCTTTATAGTAGCAGATTTCACTATATCAAACCATTTCTATATGCAGCCCAGAAGAAACCGCATGCAGACAAATGACCACAGTTCACACTGTATTTTTGCCTCGTCAGCTCTAGACATTCATCTTGCTCAGTGACACTAAATGTGTTGTACAACAGTAACCTCCTCCACACCCCGAGGTAAAGCATACCTCACTTAAAAAAAACAACTCTTCCCACTGTTGTGGGAGAACATAACGGCCCCTAAAACAACAGTTTGACCCACAGCAGAGCTGTCCGCCCCTCTGGCAGCCTCTTAGGAAGGTTTCTTAACCCACCAAGTTCAAACTAGCGCTTGGTCCTATCCAGCACAAGCACTAGGAACCATTTATTGGGCCATTGATTTTAAACTCTTATGCGCTTTATTGAAGAAGAAATAACATTAATAATACTGCAAATATTGTCACCTAAATGAAAACTGCAATGAGAGAAAAACTCACAGAACAAGGAAATAACCATGTTTGTCCTGATTTTTTCCATAATAAAATCATCCTTATTTGCAGAATTGTTTTTGTTCTGCCACATTTGATATTTTTTAAATGCAAACAAGCTTGCATAAGATCATAATAAATTATATAAATTGAGTTTAAACTTGAACCTTCACCAGGACACTCATAAAAAATCATATAATGTTCTTCTTTGTGAGGCTTTCGTTGATGGACTTGGTGTGATTGAAATATTATCTGCTGCATAACCCAAGATCACTTAAACTTTATATTATGAAATGAGGTTGTGGTATAATACCAAATCAAAGCTGGTGTAGATTATCGGGATGTTTTTAGGGAAATGTGAGATAGGTCTTTTCCAAATTTCTCTTGGTCAGGAGTGGTTTTTGGCTTTCTCCAAGTAAATACACTTTTTGTCCAGGAATACTGACCTTAACTGAGGACTACTTTAGATTTTCTCGGTCCTTTTATGAACTGCTGGGTGAATCTGTGAACAGCAACATCTACCATTTTCTCATATTTTATCCAGTTGTAGATATAGGCCATCACTGTGATTTGAGGGATGCCCTTAATAGATGGGAAGGACTTTCCGTTAACATTTATTTCAATTGCGTAGGGCATGAGCTTTTGTTGAGATATTTAAGCCCACTTTATATTGTCGGAGAGGTTCTATTTAAGTGATTTCTATATGTAAAGTAGTATTAAGGCGAAGGTTTAGTTGTTGAGAATAACTTTCAAATTTCTGTTTCAGTCTCTAGATACTACACAGATCTTAAACCATGACTACAGACAGTTCTTTGAGGCCATGTGCAAGCGTTTCATTAACAGTGGATGTATCCCTGGTGTGAAGGACAGCAGATTGTAACCTACTCTGTTTTTATCAAATAGTTGCAAAGAGCTGGAGACACGCAGTCATTATGACACCAGTCCCATGCCAAAAGCCAGAGGCAGCCCTCAGACTGCTCAGAGCTTTGCAGTAATGGCATGCGTGTGTGCAATAGTGCACAAGAAATCCCTCCAAAAATCCCTAATGAGTCTCAAGCTGTGGACTGGCGGCCAGCTCAAACAGCAGTGGATTGGTCTGTTCCCACACGCTGTAAATCACAAAAGCCTCAGGTGGGGACTGCAAAGGAAAACTGCAGGGACCCCCCCCCCCCCCCCCCCCCCCCCCCCCCCCCCCCAAAAAAGAACCTCTGGTATTCTTTAGGGCCACCATGAGTCAAGGACCAAGAGGAAGGTGCCTCAAGTGGAGATGAGAACCTTTCTAATCAAACTACACAGGTGGTCCACCATGGTGGGCAACCATTAGAGGGGCTTCTGGGAAATTTGTCACAAAATTCATGTATGAAACACTCCTTCTAAATTGCAGAGTGATCTCTATTTATGTCTTCAGACACTGATGCTTTAGGCATTAGATAATGCAGTGATCTGATGATGCACCAATATTTTAATCTAAATCTATTGCATTTACCACTGATATTTATTTGTTCTCCGTGAAGGCCTGCCACCACTAACAACAGTGTGGATAGGTTTAATTAAAAGTAATTATTATAGTAGTGCTAAGCTGGCAATACACCTGAATTATCCATATTCCACGTAAAGAGTTTTTACACTAATGCAGTGACTTTTTCTCTGTCTGTATGTGTCATCTGTTCTATCTCAGGGCATAATGTCCCTCTTTAACAATTGAGCGGGGGAGAGTGTCCATTATATATATTCATTATAAATATCTATCCATTATAATGGTGTTTACAAAAAACTTGTAAAAGCTACTGGGTATTGATACCCTATGGAGCTAAGATGCCTCTCTTTGCTGTAGGTATCCATCAGTGACCTGTTGTTCCTCCTTCCCATCCTGATAACTGTGTGTGGTGGCGAAATAAAGATAAATTATCACACAAACTTGCTTGTTACAGCTGTATTTTTTACCTTCTTATTAGATGCATTGACTATAGTTATGATCAACTTAGAAGATAAACAGGTTCTTTTGTCCGTTTCCTGATGAATGTCTTCTCTAAATGGAAAGCTTACTTATCTTATTTGGAGAAAAGGCAAGTAAAATAAGCTCACTTGTTATGATACATTCCAGACAAACGGTAGATCATGAGTCTTTTTTTTTTCAAACTGAGCAAATGTAATCCTGACAGAATCCTGATTAGATTATTGGCTTCAATTGGCGAACACAAATTAAATGATTCAGTAATAAATAAGAGCAAGAGCCCCATATGATGGTCTACATCAGATCCCCAAGCATGCCTTCAAGCGGTGGAAGTGACTCCTTCTAGCGTCTCATAACATTCTCTACAGGACTAGCTTCCTTGCTGCTGTGCGCACACCAGACACACAGTTCCCTCTCTCATTTCCAGAGACATCTGGCTGCTCCACCCCTGACAGTCCAACGCACCCTGGGGCAGAGTCGAGTGGTGAGCATTATGGTGACATGTTTATGGCGACTGTGAGCAGCAGGGAACATTACCAGGAGTGGTGGCACAGGTAATTCATTACAATGTGACCTCTGAAGAGGAAATGAAACGGAGACAAGCTCCATGTGAAAGCCACTTTTTTTGTGGCTTACTGAGAAAACATGGGGTGGCTAAAATGATTGATTATAAGTGTGTTTAACACAAGCAGCAACTTATACAACTCAAGCTAAGATGCAGAAATCCTCACTGCTGGTTCTTCATGTTTTACCAGTGAGGTAATAATAGAATAAAAGTCCTTTTCTTAACGGCTTAATATTTTTACTTTTAAGCCTGAAATTATTCAACTTTCAAAAGTCTGATGATCTTGACATTGAATTCACTAGAATGAAAACAACCACTAAAGAT